ACTTTAGTTCCAGTGACCTACGGAACTGAGAGCAATGGCGAGAAAATCGAAAGATCGCGCCCAGAAGCCGAAGGCCGCGGCAACGGTGCCAGCAACTGCGAGCAGCGAAACTGAGGAGGAAGTACCAGTGACGGAGCCACCGTTGGTCCCGGTAGTTGGAGGGACTACGGATGTGCTGCCGGCTGTGGAAGAGTCCAAGAGCGATGAAGTCCGGAAGACGATGGAAGAGCTGGCTGCGGCGAACAAGGCAATGGGTAGCGCGCGAGCAACGTCTATGACCTGGGATGAATCGCGGCGGCGATATGGTGGACAAACCATGGGACCGAACTGGGAACAGCTACCACGACCCCCAATCGAAGGCGCCTATGTTGACGAAGACTACCCGCCGCCAGAGAAGTCCGATGCTGAAAAGCGAGCGGAAGAAAAGGCGGAAGCTCGAGCCAAGCTACGTGCTGAACGACGAAATCGACCGGACAGTACTCCTGACAGCGAAGAAGAAGAAAAGGAATACCAAGGAGAGCAGCGTAAGCAAGCTGAGCGACGGCGGATCAACAAAGCAAATCGTCCGGCCAAGGAAAAGCGCATCGACCATGCCAAAGTGGCGCGTGCGGCACATGATCGGCGGATGCTGGACACCACACTACCAAGCAGCTCGGGATGGGGACCTCTTACGAGTGGACCACCGACGCCAAGCAGCGGAGGATGGGGGCCCAACTTCAACTCCAATGGACCTTCATTGGTGGTGACAGATGTCCAACCCCCTCGAATCACATGTATGGACAGAACCTTCCTAGTCAGTTGGGTGAAGAAGCGGGAGACATATGAGGACAAGCTACGGGCGAATGCGCAACGCATGGGTGGCGAGTGGCGTCGGAGTGCAGTGGGGTGGATCCCTTCCACTGACCGCAGCCTCCTGAAAGCTACATGCACCTATGTTTGGCGAGTGCCTGTAGAGCAACTCAGTGAGGATGATTACCGCGACCGAATCATGGAAATCGTCGGACAACCAGCGACCAAGTGGACACCCACCAAGTCAGACATGCAAAACTACTGTCGGACGCTGAGTGTCGACCCCCATGGAGACGTGACCAGTCGCCTGGTGTCATTTATGGAGCGGGTTGATGACGTCATCGACGAGAACGGCTTACGTCAACAGCTTAAAGATTCAACCATGCTGAGAACGTTCGTGAAAGTGGTAGCAGCGCGTGTCACACCCAGCTACCTACGCGACCGAGTCGAAGAGCAAATGAAGACCGTGCCAGCAAACCATCTGGTGGCCTTTGCGGACATCCTACGCGAACAGCTCGATCGAACGCATGACGCGGACATGGTCAATCAACAAAGAAACAGTTATGGTTCGAAGCGTGG